CCTGGGGTCGACTCAGCCTCTAACAGAAATGAGTACCAAGAATCTTCCTGGGGGGGGGGGTTGTAAAGGGCGGCTGGCGCGTAAGGTTGACAACCACACCGCCATCTGTGGGCCGATTGTCTAGATAATGTGGGAGCCTCAACCTCTCACAACCCTATGGGCCTTCACGGCCTGTTACAGAGATAGCTTTATCTTTTACCTTTACCTTATCACTGTCATATAAACATAGGTGGGTGTCCCGGAAACACTTGGGAGCATGTTTAGAGGTTCAAATAAAACGATTTCCTATGGAAATTTATCCGCAATCGCTCCCCTTTGAACATACATAATGTGATTAGACGGGCTGCGGCTGATAACTAGAAATGTATCAGGAAATAAAGTTGTAAGTAATTAAATATATTTTACATTCAAAACAAAGGTTTGAAAAATACGGATTTAAAGTAAAAGTAAGGCAAAGTTGTGCCTGTGCTTAACTAATTAAGCACTACACCATGAAGACGTATGGGGGCGTGGGTGTATAGATCAACATTTTCTTGATCTCAACACTAGCTAGAGGTGAGTGATCAGCTTCACGCCCCTGTCGCTTTATCCCGGGAGAACAGATTCAAACTAAATGTTGAAAATGGTCTCCCACCATTTCTGCGCACAATTGAGCCTCAAGCACTGAAGACGGCTTGACGCGCTCAAGAAGTCCAGTTTCAAACGCATTTTGAATCCACTGTCAGAGCTCTTCTTGTACATTTATTTCGAGCGCAGATCAGGGTCTTTAATTACTCCCAGATGCCAGAGATCGCACGGATTTAAGTCCGGAGATCTAGCCGGCCAGTGCATTGGACCTCATGAGCAATCCAGCACTTCTGTTACCATGAGCGTGTCATAAGTTGGAGCGCCGTCATACATGCGCCACGTGGTTTTTCTCAACCCTAAGAGAGCTAGCAATACATCTTGAAAAATATGAACTGACGTTTGCCCATTCAGACGCGCAGGAAACTGATACAGCCTTATTAACTCATTGCCGAGAACTTCTATCCTTATGTTGACTGAAAACTCATGATCGTTGGAAGACCTGAACGCTTAGGGATTTCATCGTTCTGTGTATCAGCGTTGTAAAAGCTGAAGATTCCATCCGTTGTAAAACATACTTCATCACTGAAATCCAAAAAGATGAGGCTATATCTCAGAAGAGGTGCCTTTGTTCACAGGAATGTTTCGCTCTATTTTTGATCTCCTAACAAGCTGATACTTTATTTCGGATATTTCCAGAACACCCTTATATAAAATGGTAAAGATATCCTTCCAACAGGCCATGTAGGCCCATAGGATTGTGAGACGTCGAGGCTCCCACATTTTCTCTCGACAGGGTGAGGTAAGTCTTACGCGCTGGCCGTCTTTTACCCAAGAAAGATGCCTGCTACTCATTTCTGTTAGAGGCTGAGTCGACCCCAGAGTCATACTGCGGCTGGAAAGATTAGGTCAATTGAAAAAATCCAATAACCTTATCGGGAATCGAACACGCAACCTTCCGGCTTGTAACATAATACTTCAAACATTTACCCTACCGCGTACTCCCTGCGCCCTTATTTGCATATAATAATAAACTCTATTCTAAGTGTTAGGTTTAAAAGAGATTTAATTGTTCCATACTTGAGTGCTGTGGAATTCGAAGATTCCATCCCATTGTATGAAATGGTTAGAAAGAAGGGTATCATGTGACATAACCACGCGACGTCACTGTTCATTAGTTCCCCGGTAATGGTGTACCTACTTAAGTTTGTTTGCATGCTAGAGACATCTGTTGGTTTTGACTACAGTATTCGAATAACACATTAGTGTTGGCCACGAAAAAACGTGACAAGATAATTGTTGAGCGATTATAGAGATAGGGGAAATACACCTATTTCATATCTGTAGTTAGGTTTCACAACCTGGCGTTTGTAATATTACTAGCGTTCTAGAATGCATAATTGTATGCTTTGACACCAGATAAAAGTATACTCCAGTTTGGAGTTTTCTTCTTCTTCTTCTTCTTCTTCTTCTTTTGCTCTCACATCGAGCACAGGGCTCCCGTGAAAGGCTTCGTTTCACTTCAGTTTCTTAATCTTAGACAGTCAGTACGACTCCTTGAACGGGGGATCTACCCGTCCCGAGGCCTCTACCTAAAACAAACATAGAATAAACACAAAGAGACATCCATGTCAGGAGTGGAATTGGAACCCACAATCCCAGGGTTCGAGCGGGCGAAGACATTTCATGCTTTAGACATCGCGGGCACTGGGATCGGCCCCAGTCTGGAGTACTGTAACATAATTAGAGAACACACAATTTAAAAACGCGTTCGTTGCGATTTGGGATACTTCATAGGTCTCGAAGTTGCAGCTACAAATCAGTGTTATAAAGGCAATCGCATTGTTCGAGGTGTCAGAGCGCAGAGCAAGTCGCAGTATTGGACGCAAGTACAGGATGTAATGGGAGTGACTATTCAGACACGTACCAGTTCTCTGTGTGAACAGCGGTTATCCAGACAGTATCTGTAGAACTCTGTTTGACTTCCTGTAAATTATGGGCTATAGTTGACCGTCCTTGGTATTTTTTTTTACTCCGCAAGCGAACTATACCGACCGAGCGACCGCCACTTGTCGGCGAAGTTAGTGCCAACATTTGAGGATAGAGGGTGTCGCGTGGTCAAAGCAACGAATCCCCACGGTCGTTAATTTCAGTTTTCTAGACCGGACCCGCTATATCCTTGAAATAGCTCCTTAATTATCCTCACGAGGGTGAGTGGACCCCAATCCAGACCCACTATATATCAGAAAACCTGGTAGCGCCGGAAATCGAACCCGGACCTCTGGATCTGTAGCCAGGAACTCTGACCACCAGACCACAGAGGCGGTCATAGTCGACCCTACTAATATTAATTTATTCTGACAATATTAAGTGTAGACACCAGAATATAGACATACAATTAATATATACGCGTATTAATAAAATACATTGGTATAAAGTAATATAGGAGCCGTGATAGCATAGTCGGTATAGCAACTGGCTATGCACTGGACGACCGAGGGGTCGAAATTCAAGTCCCAATAGGATCAAGACCGGCACTGGGGCTTACCCAGTCTCCTATCCAATGAGTACCGGCGGCTCTATCTCGGGGGTGAAATGGCCGGGACGTGAAGCTGACCACCCACCTCCAACTAGTGCCGAGTTCAAGAAAATATGGATCCATACATCCGCTCCCTCATACGCCTTCATGGAGTAGTGCTTATTAAGTAGTATGTAGGATGGTGAACAGAACATTAAAGCGACACTTAGTCGGAAGAAGAGCCACGCCATAGCTCAAGCGGTTAGTCGCTGGCTCCCCAGCGCGACGGCCCGGGTTCGATCCCGGGTCTGGCCAAGTGGGATCCGTGGTGGACAAAGTGGCACTGGGGCAGGTTCTCTCAGAGTACTTCGGTTTCCCCTGCCAATCTTCATTTCACCAATTGCTGCACAATCACCCTCACCTATCATCTGGGGCGGGTGCAATAGGCCAGAAGTGGCCGCAGTACAAGGGACTTTGTCCCACCCCACTAGCATTAAAAAAAATTAGACGGCAGAAGAGAAATTTCAAGTTTTATAAAGTGTAAAATTACACTTTTGTATGGAACTGAAATTTTGGTTTAACAACGAAGATTGGAGTAAAATTCAAGCATCGAAAATAACATTTCGGATAATCTGAAGGACGAAGCGGATCGGACAAAACCGAGAACGAAAATTTATTTATTATTATTTATTGATTATTATAAATTTATAATTTATTCGACGAATGGAAAAATAGATGATTGCCCCACTAGAACGGAATGGGCAATGATAGACTCCGTGTATTTCTACATGTATTTCATTACAAATCAGCGTGATACAGACCTACAGGGTGATCATTCAAAACATCGATTTGTGGCCAGAGTAGGCTTGAAGTTTGAACAGAACAGTAAAAGAAAAGTCTCCAGTCATTGCTCACTAATTAAAAAAACACATTTCGAAAGTATACGTGTTATTATTATTATTATTATTATTATTATTATTATTATTGTTTTTGTTGTACTGTCCTTTGTTGGGCCTTGGCCGCTTTTCAGTTTCTTGGACCTATACACAGTCGGTATGACTCCTTGGACGGGGGATCAGCCCGTCGCAAGTCGTCTACCTTCACACAGAACAACACGAACACGGAAATGCATACAGTACAGACATCCATGCCTTGACTGGGATTCGAGACCACAATCTCAGCGTTCGAGCGAGCGGAGACAGTTCATGGGGTAAAAACCGACAAGGAATAGGGTACACAGAATAAATGATGCAATGCCTGCGGTGTGTGCGACGACATCTTTTACAGCAAACGTCAGCCGAGAAATGTGGCCCAGGATTTAACATCTCTGACTTGCATTTTGGGTTGCCGGGTTCGAATCTCCGCTAAACACCGAGTATTATGAGTGAGATAATTCGTCGCTTTCCTCGGTTCTTGCCTACAGATACCCGGATAGTACTTAAATAGTCCGCTACGGCTTAATTTCACATCCCTCTTAAATAATTAATCATTAATTAATATTATTCGCCAATAACCCATCATTCAACCCTCTAATCTGAGCCACTGGAGACGTCGTTAAAGTTGTCCCTGTGCTTATCTAATTAAGCACTACGCTATTGAAAGCTGGACGTATAGATCCACATTTCCTTGATCTCGGCACTAGCTGGAGGTGAGTAATCAGCTTCACGCCCCGGTACCACTTGGATAGGAGGTTGGGTGAACCCCAGAGCCGGTGTGAACGATTGGAGAAGAGAAAATTCTTAACCCTACCAGGACTCGAACTCCGACCAGTCTGTCATCCAGCCCGCAGCCAGTTGCTGTACCGACTGCGATATTCCGGCTCCCCTAAATACGCTGTAAATATAGCAAAATTATTGTCTGACACAACTTGTAATAAAATGATGCTTAATTCATATATTTGCCTCTACGTTTGTTACAGGACAGCGTCAGATCCGTAGATGTGGAACTCAGAATCGCCGCTTGCGGCCATGCGAGCTCTACTCAAGATGCTTGTGGGGTCCCTCAGTTGACGACTCGCCGAAGCTGGCTGCCTGCTGACGTCAGTAGTATGGAACCGGTGCCCACTGATCTCACTGCAGGCGCGACAACGTGAGTTGGCTACGTAGCGTCCAGTATGAAATTTAATCATGATTATGAACGGCTAGTGGGAAGGGTGTGGAAAAGAACTGGTAGTGGCCTATTCTAAAGTAAAATCTTAGGAAGAATGCTATGTTCTGAGATGTGACGCCGTTTAGTTTAGTTCAGTAGAAGTTCACCAACATTAAGGAGGAATATATTGTCTCCATGCTCAAGGCCAAAGAGTAAGCAAGACGCACGCAACAAGCAGATCCAGCCTCCCATGCTGATTTTGCGTAATAACCGTAGTAAAACAGAAGAAACCAGAAGCTATAGAAACAACTGATCATCTACTTTCCTTTCGCTAAATACAAAGTATTTGATATGGCACGTACTGCATAGAAAACATCGCTTCCAAGAGTTATTCTATTGCTGCGTGTGTATTCGTTGCCGCTGGAACGCGTTTGCCGAGCCGTTGCCTAGCAACGGCCTTCTTTTCAAGTCCCACTACTTTCCCTGTTTCAATTTAAAACACTTGCAAATTCCTACCATACCGATCTGTGTTTAGCATTAGCAAAGGGTCTGAATCGAAAGTTGAGCACATTTGTTGCGCCGTAATTTATCGTTTGTGTACCCTCACTAACACAGAGTCAAGGTAAGGGCATTAACACTCGGAACTAAGAGTCATACTGCCGAGGACCAGAAGCAATTTACCCGACGCGACAATGCATGGACGGAAACAAAACGGAAAACAGCTCACAGACCCAATGCCTCTTTATCGTGATATTTACTGTGTCCAAGAAACACGACCCTTCTTGTCAAGAAGAATGACCATTGCGGTCAAATTGCAAACTCTCCTGCTTCATAGTCGGGAGGTTTCAGATTCAAACCCCCACTAGTGATGGATTGTCCTTAGGCCTTCTAGGTTTCCCCCCAGCCTTTGCAGGAAAATACCGGAATGGTACCAACAATTTTAGTTACCACCTCTTCCATATAGACAAGTCTGCCACTGTTAGATGCTACGTAACCTGAGTTACCGTTACCGTCGTAAAATAAACAATAAATATTAAATTAAGTAGTTACTATAGGATTCTGACGATGGTGTATAACACACTGATATATTGGGTTTTTGGACTTTATCCATCGTCCTGGTTTTTAAGATAACTAATAAAAACACTAAGTTTCGCAAACTGGATCTGTTTCCGTCCTCAGGTGAAGGAAAACACCTATTCTGTTGGGTCCGTTAGAAAGAGCTAGCCTCAATCACTGGACCTTCACCTGAGGACGGAAACAGATCCAGTTTACGAAACGTCGTGTTTTTATTAGTTATCTTAAAAACCAGGACGATGGATAAAGTCCAAAAACCCAATATATCAAATATTAATTTGTTTCATTCTGTTCCGTCATAATAATAATATGAAAAAGTTAAATATTTGTGACTGTTTAAGATTAAGATTAAGAATAAGATTAAGAATAATTGAAACAAACAAATCTTAACCAGTCATACTGGACGGAAATATTTAACCTTTTCAAACTTCTTCATTTTAATAAATACGTATTATATCAAGGGAATAGTCGGTCAAGAAGTCGAGAAATTCGCCACACAAGGTTTTTCATTGCCGTGTTCGTAACAGGCCGCCAGCTGAATCCAGTCAGTATCCTGACACCCTACATATCTACATTCCAGTTTAATGTTATCTTACCACGGTTACCTAGAACTCTCACCTGGTAACTTCCTTTCGGGTTTTCCAACTAAAATCATCTTACATTTATCATATCTCCCGTGAGTGATAACAAGTCCCACCCTTTGCATTCTTCATGATTTAGTCACCCTGGCGAGTAGTGTGACTTGCTGATCCATAATTCAGGCTGTTAGACGCCAGCTTCTCACTGCTAGGGCTTGAGTTTGATCCCGGGCGACTTCGTGTGACATCCGTGGTTTCGAAAATTGTACTGGAGCAGGCTTCTTCGCGAAGTTCTTTAGTTCTCTTTCGTTTTAACCGATGTAGATTGGAGGTAAAGTTAAAAGTTTCTGGACTGAATAGTAGGATGTATTACACGAATCAAATATTCTCTTCATTTCATCATGAATATAATTTTGCTCGGTCAATATCTGTCCCAAAATTTCGAAAGATTTATTATCCATCTTTTGATAAAATTTAGTTTTGTTCCGTATCGAAGCTTTGGGACCGCATTTCGCTTGGTCCTTTACATTAAACTGTAACTCATACTTAACAGATATCTGAAATCGAAATTATGAAGTGTTTATTTAATGACGGTGTATCATTAAAAATCAGGTATAACAGATCATACTGAGACTTACAACTGATATCTAAAGGATATCTGATGTTGTATGATTGTAATAAAATGCAGACTATATGAAGATGTCTCCGTGGTTGTGTTTGAGAACAAAATTATTAGGCGAACATCTGAACCAAAGACTGAAGATGATGCAGAATGACGAAAATTACACACCACGAGATTCAATTATTCACACGCTTCATTTGAAATTATTAAGGTCATAACATTAAGGAAAGGGGGCGAACAGATCACTTAGTTACCATGGACAGATTAGAAGATCGCGTTAAATTGTGGTAAATATGAATTTAAGGGAAATATAATGCAAAAAAGAAAGGCTGTGCCATAGCTCAGGCAGTTAGTCGCCGGCTTCTCACCGATGTGGCCCGGGCTCGAACCCGTGTCAGGTCATGTAGGATTTGTGGTGGAAAAAGTGGCACTCCGGCAGGTTTTCTCCGAATACTTGGGCTTGCCCTAGCAATTCGCATTCCACTGATTGCTCCACAGTCATCATCATCATCATCTGGGGCTGGTACAGTAGGCCAAACAGTGGCCGCAGTACCAAGTGGGCTCAGTCTCACCCCACGGGACATAATAATAGTGGAAAATGTAATATTGATTCAAGGTGTTCTGGCTAGAGCCCAATGGCGACCTCTGAACACGGTATCGGTACAAGACTTTGTGTTCCCTGAATAAGGGGAACTTCTTGACCTGCCGAGTAACCGAACACTTCCTCAAAAAGTCCGTTCTTTGGGGTTTTGTGCAATAGAATTTCTGTTTCTGTCAGAATGAATGAAGCAAATTTCTGCCAGTATTATGCTCTGGGGAACGGATGGGCAGTCGGAATTAATTAGTATACCCCTCCCCTCAGGCACGCGGTAGCGTATGTGGTTGAGGCACTATGCTACAAGTCGGATGGTCGCGGATTCGATTCCCGATGAGGTGACTGGAATTTTTTCAATTGACCTAATCCTTCCGGCCGTACTATGGCCCTGTGGTCGACTCAGCCTCTAACAGAAATGAGTACCAGGAATCTTCCTGGGGAGTAAAGTGCGGCCGCGCCGGCTGACAACCTCATCGCCATCTGTGATCCGATCATCTAGAAAATGTGGCAGCCTCGACGTCTCACAACCCTATGGGCCTTTAGGCCTGTTACAGGGATAGCTTTACGTTTAACCGTTTTTACCCATCCCTTCAGTCTATATTAATCATTTAATGCGTCCATGTATTTCTGCTTGACTTTGCAATGAATCGGACAAAACTCAAGTCATTCGGCTTCCAGCGTAGCAGATAGATGCCTCACCCGTGAAGCGAACTTGCGCGGTGAGGGGGTTGCCACATTTGGCGCGGAGAATGCCCGATTCCTCCGACTGGGTCCGCCCTCGCAGTGTGCCTTCACGTGCCCGCACGTGGTAGGTGATATATTTGATGTCATCTGTTACAGCTCGAGTCCGGGAACCGAAGGAGACAGGAAGCAGAGAGAGCACCGTCGCCTCACAACAATCATCGACCAGCTGACAAGCAACAGGACGCGTGACCACGGACAGCCCCAGCAAGGTGAGCCTTGGCTTTGATAAGGAATCACGTTCTGTGGTTATTCCAACTAAATGTAACTCAAGTAGTTCCACGTGTTAGTTTTACGAAATGTGACTTTCTGGTCTGAATATCTTTTTTAATGTTCTAGTAATTTAGCGAGGCCATGTTACTGTTGCTTATCCGAAAGGTTACCGATACGTGACTTCTGAGTTTTGCTTCCTCATGCACCTCACGTGTGAAGGAGGATTTTCCGTTTATGTTTTTTTGTGTAATGTACTTAGTGTTTTCCTATAAGATATCAGTAAAAGACTCACAGCTTACACATGTGCCCTCGAGATCAAGACTGCAGGCTCTTCCATAATTTCAAAATCCACCCGCAAGTTTACACGGGCAGTAATCCAGGAGACAGCAATATGAAAATTTAATCTCACATGATTTGATCATTTTTACGAATATTACGAATTTTGCATTGATGATGATACTTTTAAATTTAGATTAACGCTGTCATGCAAGCAAAGTGTAACATCACTTCCGTTTGCAACAGCTTCTAACATAATCCCATCTATCCTCCAGAATTTCACAGTTTACTCCTCGTTCCCTCCCAGCCTCGTATTTAATTGGTACCGGGGGTAGAGTGGCCGGATTGTGAACCTGCTCACTCACCTCCGTCTAATACCGAGGTGCAGCTATTCCTCCACACCCCCATACATCTTCATTAATTAAGCACAGAGATAATTTTACCTTGACGTTGGCATTCTGTAATGTGGCGTCCATATGAAATGTGTTCCGCTGGAGAGCCATTGCTGGTTTTGCAAAGATCGGCCTACAAGAGGACAAGTGTGAAGGACAAAATCAGGAAAGATGTGGGGCAACAAACGAAATAGTGTAGCGACAAATAAGAAATGAGCCGAATTTGTAAACATAAAAATGTCTAGCAGAAGCCCACTACACCAGCGTTGAAGGAGGAATAATTTGATTCGTTAGTGAAAATCGAAGAGAAACAGGCTGCTGCATATATTTGGCACTGGTACTAGGCGGTATAAGCTTCTGTCAGACATTTCAATAGATTATTAAAATTTCCAGGTAGCACACGCTATAACAAGTAATACATCCAAGTACATATTTCTGGCAAAGAAAAAGTAACAATTTTTTTTTTTTCCTTTGGCGCTGCAACCCCAATTGGCCTTGGCCTACCTCCATGAAACTTTCCGTTTCACTTCGGTTTACTAGATCTTAGACATTCGGTAGGACTGCTTAAGCGGGTGATCAGCTCGTCGCAAGGCTGTACACAGACACTGAACATCCATGCCCTGAGTGGGATTGGAGCATGCCTTATAGCGCTCGGCTACCGTGACCGGCAAAGTGACGATATAGACCTCTAATAATGGAAATGGACAAAAAGACATGACTTCTTAGAAAAGGGTAAGGTAAAGCTATCCCTTTAACAGGTCGTGAAGGCCCACAGGGTTGCGAGACGTCGAGGCTCCCACATTTTCTAGACAGTCGGCTAGCAGATGGCGTTGAGGTTGTCAGTCTTGCGCACCGACCGCCTTTTACCTTCCAGATAGATTCCTAGTACTCAATTCTATTATAGACTGAGACGACCCCAGGGCCATATTGCGACTGGAAGGATTAAGTCAGTTGAAAAAAAAAAAAGAACAGTCTCCTCATCGGGATTCGAACCCTTGACATTCCGGCTTGTAGCACAGTGCCTCAACCACCTACGCTATCGCGTGCTTCTTATGAAATAAATTTACTATACCGTCTACTTTAAAATATGATTCTGAAATTCATCTGCGGGAAAACTTTTAGAGTATATTTTATACAAGCCTCTATGAACTGCTTCCTGTACTAAAGAAGATAAGAAACGAAAAATTGTAAGGGGAGGCTATTCAAAAGATTGTTCTGAAGTCGAAACACGCTTAAGCATATACAGAAGAAGAATGGACAGACGTGACTTCCTCATTGTGCTTTAATTTTATGCGCTTAGTGTGAAGGATTAACAAAATAATTCTCGCTAACAGATCAAATCTACAACTTTCGTCGTTAGAACGGAGAGAACACGGGAAAATGTTTTATCAGCATATCCGGTTTCTGGGCCGAGATTCGAAACCGTCACCCTCTGAATTCGGAGTACAGCTGGTTACCCCTAGAGCACTCGGCCCGTGTGCTGCTCATGCTAAGAGGTTCCAATAAAAGTTGTTTGCTGTCGCAATAACGGAACGAGATTCTGAGCCATGCACTAGCAATTTTGTGTGACCCGGATACATGGCTGTGACCACGTCCGGCTTCGAAACCTTCCACAGCAGCAGCAGCAGCAGCAGCCGTCACTCTCGTGTGTCATAATGTTCTAATTCTCTTCGTCGTACATAACTCCCACTCGTTGCCTGCTTTCAGACAGTAGCGTTGTTCGAGTCCTTGCCCCTAGTCCATTATCATTTTAGATCAATTAGGCGTGACTTTACATGAAGTTTCGTGATTTACCCAAGGCAATTAATAATATGGATACATATGCTAGAAGTTGATATGAATTGCTACTTTAACAGTTAATTAACCTCGATAGTTTCCCGATATGTTTGTGTGTGTAGAAGTGTATATATATATATATATATATATATATATATATATATGGGGTACGCGGTAGAATAATTGGTTGAGGCACTATGCTAAAAGCCGGAAGGTTGGAGGTTCGAGTCCTGATGAGGTGGATTTCTCAATTTACCTAATCCTTCCAGCAGCACTATGGCCCCGGGGTCGACTCAGCCCTAACAGAAATGAGTACCAGTAATATTCTTAAGGGTAAAGGGCGGCCGGCGCGTAAGGCTGACAACCTCACCGCCATTTGTGAGCCGATTGTCTAGAAGATGTGAGAGCCTCAACTTCTCACGACCCTATGAGCCTTCACGGTCTGTTACAAGGATAACTTTTTTTTCCCCCTTGGCACTACAGCCCAAGTGGGCCTAGGCCTACCTCCATGAACTCCGTTCATTTCGGTTTTTCTAGATCTTACACATTCGGTAGGACTCCTTGGGCGGGTGATCAGCTCGTCGCAAGGCCTCTACCTGTACACAAACACAGAAAGACGCACACACACAAACTAAACATCCACGCCCTGAGTGGGATCCGAACTCACGATCCCGGTTTCCAAGCGAGCGAAGACAGTACGTGCTTTAGTTCGCTCGGCTACCGTGACCGGCATAGGGCAGGAGATGGTATCATAAATCTTGTCTCTGTCCATGCAAAGAAGTGGGGTGAGACTAGGGTGCCAGATATCGCTATAAACGAAATGTCTGTCCTATGTATGCCCTTCTAAGAGCAGCAGAAAAGCACGAGTTTATATGGAGTAGTACCGCCCAATATCAGACGCAACAGCGAAGGTGTCCCCACAACCGAGGTCATTATAACCAAGTTCGACTGTACTTCTCATATCTGAGAGCAGTGGTCGCGATACCGTGCTCCTGATTAAATTACATCTCACATATAAATTCTACTTTCACTCTCTTTGTCACTCAGTACTACTTTACCGTTTTCCTTTACGATGTAACCTATAGGTTTCTGTATCATTATAGTCTGTTACAAATGCGTTAGGCAGGACTGTAATGATTAATTATGCGTAGGACAAACATGACCTTACTTTTGACACACGAAATAAAATAATAACAATTGCGGACTTGAGTCTATGTGGCTGTCAGTGTTTGATTTATTATTATTTATTAAATATATCGTGTGTGGCATGTTCAGTTGAGTGTATGAATATTAAACACCAGATAAGCAGGCCGCCAAGTCATATCAGAGATAAGTGAAATATCTAATTATTAGCATATCCAAATTCAGGGTTCTTAGGAACTTAAGTTTCCTTCACGCGCCCTATATGCCATATATACGCAAGGACAAGGCAAAGGAAATAGTTTCAAATGAACAGACATCTGTTAATAGGAATGTTCTAAATTCTGTGTGTAAGTATTTGCAGTTAGTGTTTAGTGGCATACGTGAGTGAATATCCGAAGACTTCCGGGTGTGTACCTGATGACTGTCTCCTACATGGGGAAAGGAGAGGAGCAGCTGGCATCGTAATGAGCGCCAAACATTCTGAGACATCAGTAGAGATAACTCCCGAAACGTCGTATATATTACATATCTACGCGGTAAAGAAGAATGCCTCTCATAATTGCGGAATAATCAATAAACTATTGTCATAAACCTTAGACGTGCTTGTGTTTCTTACCTCATCTCGTAGTAGAAGTTAGGTTAATGCTCAAACTTGTGTTCAGATTTAAAGCGGTGTAAGTTTTGAGTCACTACTTAATTAACACAGCCGTCATTAGTCTTCTTCTTCCTTGAAAGCGGTAGGTCCTACATGTTTCGAGGTTACATAAACTGTTCAGTCCATCTTATGCGTGATCTTCCAAATTCTACGTACTTACTTCGAGGTCTGTTGCTGGTATTCTTTATGGCATCCGGTAATCATATCTGCTCTGGCCTGCTACCTGCTGGCACACCTCCCCAAACCTTTCCCTTCCCCCTCTCTAACCCTTCCCCATGTAGCCCCTCTCATTTCCCTTCCTGCTCTTATACAGCTGTGTTTACTTGACTGGACTGTCTGTTGCATCTGCTCACGCTGGTTCGCTCGCGGATTCCTTCGTCTTCTACCCTGAAGATGGAGGAGATACGTTCCTCCGAAACGTCCGTTAACACAATATCTACACGGGGCCACATCCCAGAAGACTGCTTTCTTCATAGTCACCGTCGTGAAAACCTCAATGATTTCCTCATTTCTCGTGGTGTTCCTTAACGTAGTCGGTCATTTTATTGAGTGCCACGTGCACAGACAATAACTTATAAAGCAGAATCGAGTTAAGATGAGTCCAGCCGTTATGGGTGGCGTAACCTCATAGTAGCAGCTTCAGACATTTTGGCTTCGCGAGGGATATGTGCCGTTTGATACATCATCATCATCATCATCATCAGTAATCTGTCAGACGACAGGTCCACAGTCTCTTCCAAAACAATTCCTCCACTTA